GTGGGGTGGGGTGGGGTGGGGTGGGGTGGGGTGGGGTGGGGTGGGGTGGGGTGGGGTGGGGTGGGATGTCCTGATGGCTGGCTGGCTGGCTGGCTGGGTGTGGTTGGCATCGGGCCGTGTGAACCACATGACGGGACGTGTTGGCTGGGGGGGATGCAAGAATGGAAGAAGGAAGCAGGGCATCTTCTAACTGCTTTCAGTATACATGCCCTGCCGCCTGTGCCGCCTCTCCTCACTGCCACCGACCCGTACTTTTCTTCACGGATCCGGGTGACAGTGTTCGAGCCCCGTCTGGAGCACCTGCACTGGACCCGGCCCCGGCCCCGCTCCCACACCGCCAGCAGTCCCGCGGACGACCCGGGCCCCTTCACCGCCGGCTGGGAGGCGGCCAGTGAGGAGCCCACGTATGCGTACGTGTACACGTTCTGGTGGGTCAGGGGGGCCTTAGGGGTTTAGGGTTTGGCTGGGTGCGTGGGTCGGTGGGTCGGTAGCCGGGTATATTTGGATTGGAGCTATTTAAGCGACTTCTCTTCTCCGCTTGGCCCCTCGGCTTGTTGCACCTTTGGAGGGTGTAACCCAACTTCAGAAAGTGGGAGACACACATACGCACACACACATACATACACACACACATGCACACGCGCTCGCAATTCATGGTTGCGGACTGGTAACCCGGTATGGTATGGTGGTGCGACTTGTGTCCAGGTTCTTCTACCCGTTCAACGGCTGCTCCAACCAGCTGATGGCAACCCGGTTCGCGGGGCGACACCAGGCGGCCGAATACTTCCTGTGTCCGCTGGGGGTGCATGAGGGTGAGAGAGGGACCCTAAACACAAGCGCAAACCCTGGCCCTCAATACAAACCAGTTTAGCTCGACCCAGACCTAGACTTACCCAAGCCTTTAGTGACCCAGCGTTATCGAAGCACTCCTCACGGTACCTGCAAACCCTGCTCTATCCCCACCCGGGGCCCTTCGCGTCTGTACCCCCTCATCCGGCTTGCGGTGGCGGCGTGCGGTGGGCTATACACTTGAGGAATCCC